GCTTTTCTCTGTATCTATGAAGCGCCTTGAGGCGACATTTGTTGTGATTTGGCGCTATATAAATAAAATTGAATTGAAAATTGAATTGAATTGAACACCAAAAAGTGATTGCTGAAGTCTCTATCTGTGATATATTTGCTTATATTAACAAATAGACTGCAGTGAGCAGGATGTATAAGTGAGTTTTATATAAAATAAAGAAATTACCTGCTTTGCAAACATATTTATGACTGTGTTATTGTCACTACCCTGTATGATTAATTAAGTCCTTTTTGCCCAATCTTTATAGAGCTGTTGTGCTTGTGAGCTTCTGCTTTGTGACAGGAATGTTTTTTCGGGCTCAAGATGATTCGATGTCATTCATGAGAGATATGTTTGAGATATACTGGTCATATTCAAGCTTTGTTTTTCACATGCCACTGGTTTGCACACTACAGTGGATCGATTCCGGCCTTTGGGACCCCAATTTGCTGACCATGCGGTCAAACATGAGGTTTCTGTGATTTTACGATACATTTGACTGAAGCTTTGAAGTTAAACATCTCACCCGTTTGAAATGCAGCTCTCGAAATTTTCGCAGTCTCGCTTCTCTCTTCTGGGACGCGACGGTTTCAGTCGGCTCCTCTTCGGCAGTTGCAGCAGACCCCTGCTAACAAAGACAGTTATCAATACAAGTAAAACGTTTTAATTCAAACTGTTCAATGAAGAAGAGACGCATGAGAACAACTGGCAGTCAGAAAGCTAACGCTTATTAGCCAAGACGCTAAATTCCCGTTAGCCTCGTACACAAAACACGACATTTTAACCAACAAACACGACGAAGAAACACAACTTCTGTCAGCAAAACGACACATCGCACTCTAAAGAGTTACATCCATCCACCGTATCCACTATCCATTAAATATAAACCTCAATAAAATACCAATAACAAGGAAAAAGCGCTAACCTCGCTACAAGACGCCATTATTGTGGTATTGATGCGGAAGAAAACAGGAAGTTCAGCACTAGCGCCGGATATTACGTACAAGAAGAAAGTAAAACGCAATTACAACAACAAAACGTAAATAAAGCAAAGATAATCGATTAATTGCTGAATAACATCGGTTCATATAACGGCAGAAATAAAATATGATATAATCACAGCTCCACTTTCAGATCATCAACTTATTTTTATTGAAATACACAACTTAACAACTAAATTTTAATGGACGAGTCACTAAACTTAATAAAAATAATATAATAATATAATAAAAAGCAATACAAATAAATAAATAAATAAAATACAGAATTTATAGAATACAGTTATTATACAAAATTCATACAGGAAGAATTGATGAAGATTACAAACTTAGAAAATAGTTTATAAAAGCTCCAACAACATATGTTAAAAAAAAGAAAATCTATCATTAGAAGAACAAACAAATCTAAAAGATTTACAACTTAAGTATAAAAACATTTATATTTCAAGGGCTGAAGGAGCTTTTATTCATTACTGAAAAAAATGGCTAGTAAAGGAAGAAGAAGAATGTATTTTTCTTAAACTTGAAATAAAAAAGAAAAAATATTTCAAAATTAAACATCAAGAGTAATATAACTGAAGACCATATTCAAAATTCTTCTTAAAAAACAAAATCAGTGAAAAACTTTAAGTTACTCCTTTTATGGACTCACTTAACAATATTAAATAATCATGCAAAGATTTAAGGGGAAAAATTAAAATTCTCCTGGCACAGATGGATTAACTGTAGAGCTTTGTAAAAATCTTTAAGAAGCTATCTTTATTTCTTTATAAAGTAAGCACAGAAACTGGGAAGCATGGGTCACTTACCTCTATAGTGACTCAGGGACCAGTGTTGGTGTTATGGATGGGCCTCAGGGGGTCCAGGCCCATCCAGTCAAGTCAGTGTGTCCTTTCAGCTGAATGGTACTCGAACACTTCAACTAAGTGCCGTGGAAGCTCAGTTTAATTATTTAGCTCACAGTAATTGAGTACTTTTGCACCGGTCATGGAAACCAGCATGACTGAGTGGATTGGTCGATGCAGGTCACACTTTGGGAAGTACGACTTCTGTCTCTTTGAAATCAAAAAGAGGTGATTTTAAGTTGTGCAGCTAGTTTGAAAGCATGACCCTACTGAAAGCTGCAAAGCAAATTGAAATGTGTCGAAGATATTATGAGCTCACAGTCAGCTGTCCTAGTGTGAGTGAGTTCATAGATCCACTTCTGGTCCCATTATCACCAGTAAGCTGGCAGATGATACCACCCTATTTCTAAAGGATGAATATGAGACTAAAGATGTGCTTTATTAGACCTTCTTTTTATATGATATGTAAATATCTTAGAATGTCTTTAGAAACAAGTTCAACCCTCTGATGAAATCAGTTGAACACAGTTTTAGTTTGTGACTCCACAGACACCCATCTGTTTTAGGGCTTTAATTGCAAAAGCAGGAGAGTTTTTGCAGACTGTTGACACCAGTTTTTTATTTATTTGGAAAAACAAAAAACATACTATTAGGAGAGCTGTCTTAATGAATAAGCCCGATAAAGGTGGAATCGTTGCCTTTGATTTTGCAAGTCTTTATCACTTCACTTTTAAAATCCAATGGTTTCAAAATCTCATTAAAATCGGACCTTAAAATCTTGAGAGTTTCCCATCAATGGATCCAAAATGTTAATATGATGACCTCTGAGTCATTTAGTCATCCCTTTCACCTTGTGACATGGAGTGGCAACATGCTGGAAAGTGCACAGCCTGTCACCCAAATTGCTCCTGAAGAAACTGATGCTTGTGGATGATTTTAGTGGTCAGACCTTAAAAAGCCGAAACCCACAAACTGAACAACATGGCCCTTCGACAAGAGATGAATGGCTCAATCATGCAGCATGCCACAGAGGTCAACTTGGTAAGTACAGCCTGTTTGCATACACTTGATTTATTTAATGAAACTAATTGTTCTTCACTCTATCACAGAAATATGTAAAAAATAATCTAAACGTAAACTGATATTAACTGTATGAAACAAAATTTCAAGCTCGATCTTTTCTCAAACATTGTCGTGATAGCAAACATCTCACTTCATTTTATGATAAAAGATTTAAAGTAATTTGAAGAATGTTTTGTTCTCTTCCTGTGTTTGCAGATTTTTTTATTATCTATGTATCATCTGAATGTTATTCAGCTATCCTGTCTACAAATGTAAGATTGTTTCATGAGGTTATTAGACATGAATCATTAACAAACATGTTCTGTAACTACGAGAACTCATGATTATTTATTGTGACACTGCATCAGCTGTGTGCATGTTTGGTCTTTTTATTGTGGTACCATGGCAAAAGTAATTGGTAGACACAATTTATTATACAATAAAGTCTTTGTGTATAATTTTAAACCAGGGCATTTTACTTACTTTTGAAGTTTAAATTCATTGAAAAATACTGCTACACAAATGGAAACTGGTATGACACACACAGAGAGCAATTATGAATATGGCTGGAGGTTATAAAATGAGAGGCTTGAAAGGTCAAGCATAAAGTCATCAGTGTAACACACAGAGAGTCTGTTTAGACTCTCCTAAACTCAATTGTTATGGTTGTTTTTGCCACATAGAAATATATTACCAATGCATTTTATTTTTACCCACAAAAACACAAGTATCAATCAAGGCCTTGGAACATGGGACGCCTAAATATGATTCTATGATCTGATCAGGAGATGAAAGTAAACACTTTCAAGACCCATTTGATCATGTTTGACTTGCCAAAATGGATGTGCTCCCTGTTTGATTGCATTATACTAATAGAGCTCTTTTGGAGGATGTAATTAAGTGGAGTTTATACTCTTAGATTAAAGCATCCTCTAGATCACAGGCAATGTTAATGGAGTGATGCATTTTCACTGGAAACCAGATGGGAGCACATCACAACAGAGCAAAACATCATTGGCTGCAGTAATGGGCAGGGCTCTACTACTGCCATGCAAAGGAGAAAATATCTTCCTAATGAATGACTCTCAAATGAGTAAGAGAGAGCAACGGGTAAAAAACAGCATTTCCTCTGTATCTGATTCAGACTCAAAATGGCAGCGTGCAGAACAGTTGCAAAACAACAGGAAAGGGGAATTTAAGGCTGGTGTGTATGACTGTTAAGTATCCAGACAAGCGTGAGAGTTTACAATATATCAATTGTGGGTGTGCTATTTTTCTCCAATAGCTGTTAATCTCTTTGTCATCCAAGTACTCTCATATGTTAGCTAAACTTCCCTTTGCTTGCTTCCCTGGAAGCTCCGTCGTGTTGTGCTATCTGTCCACGGGGAAGTGAAAGAAATGGGCAGACAGCTTGTTAGCAAGAAGCAGCAACTTCAACCTCAATGTTTAATGTTCATGTCATGCACAAAGCCAAAGCTCAGTAGCATGCACTCCACTATAATGTAATTATATAAATGATTAAAGAGAATCAGAGACCTGTAATAATTAGAAGATTTGCACAACAGAAACATGAGTACTTACAATAAGAGTGAGCACTACTCTAAGTTTAAACCAGATACATGGTAACAGTAATCCAAAAACAGTGTGCAGCATAAAGCAAACAGCGACTGCACATCATTTAAATTATTGGACTGAAGTTAATTTGCGGTGCACGGGTCACAAGAATCAACAAAAACTCACATATTATATAAATACTGTGTACTAGCAGACTTTCTAAAAAACAGGCCACTCTTAGCAACCTTTTATATTACCTTAGCAACATATATATATTATCATTGCTTCGCTATTTCAGTTGAAATGTAAAAAGATAGCCACAGTCTGAATAAAGACAGATTCATAGCTTTCGGGTTTAAAAAGTAGAGCGAACAAAGTAATGTTTCTTAAACAATGGCCACCAGGCGATAGCTGAGGTTGCAAAAAGCCACCGAGGTGTATAGAAGTCTGTGGGAAAACATCTCTTGGACTTGAACCCAGCTCACATTTTCACTCTTTTTATGTAACACTAAATCGGGGGTGTCCAACTCCAGGCCTCGAGGGCCATGTCCTGCAGTTATTAGATGTGTCTGTGATCCGACACAGCTGATTCAAATGGCTAAGTTACCTCCTCAACGTGTCTTGCAGTTCTCCAGAGGCCAGGTAACGAACTCATCATTTGATTCAGGTGTGTAGACGCAGGGTGAGATCTAAAACCTGCAGGACACCAGCCCTCGAGGCCTGGAGTTGGGGACCCTTGCACTACATAAAACTTCTATAAAATCAGAGAAGCCGCCCCCTGGTGGCCACTGGAAAGAAATCCAGCTTTAAGGTGCTTTCAGACTGACGTTAATTATACGTAGTGGGCAAATGAAGGCAACAAAACCTTATAAGCACTTAAATATTACATTCACTCTTAGCTTTCTAAAAAAAATCAGAAACATTCAAGGTAACCATATGAAGTGAATTTAGTCAAGTTCATATAAATAATCACCCTTAACTACTGTTCTTTTAAAGTCCCACAGTAGTTTCTCTGTTGTAGTTCCCAAATTGGGAAGAGGGGCCTGAAAGCTTCTGCTTTCAAATACCACAGGAACCACAAGTAAGACAGCAGAGTGAAAGCAAAGTGCTCTATTGGAGTGATACGGTACGAAGTCTTTAAGATAAGATGGGACCTGATTATTGGTTAAAGGGAGCCGTCTTCAATCAGCATCTGCCACAAAAATCTGTTTCAAGTTGTCTAATATGACAAAACATAACTCCTTGACATTTTAAAGTGTCCTTTAAATGCAAAATATTCCAGAGAAGGCAAACACCTCTACAGCTGATATCAACCCTAAGCAATAAATGTATATTTGATCCTGGAACAAACTGTCCCTTTACTGTGCCTTTAATTTGAAATCCAGTTGCGCAATCCCGTAGTGCGACATGAATCGCACATCTGCGGAGGCCACCCAAAAATGCTGAACAGCCACTCCTTAATATTAACTTTTCCAGTCAGGCAAATCAGGTCTTAAATAGAGTAACATTATATCTGCAAATAAATTGCACTTTTGTA